TATTGATGTATAAATTAGATAGATATATCTCTGGCATAGTATTTATAGTTATAATCAAGAGCCGTATAACGAAGTTATACCTTCTTTATGCGCTCTTCTTTATACGCTCTTCTTTATACGCTCCCTCTTTATACGCTCTTGTTATAATATATTTATTTTAGCCAAGAGTAGTGCCCTTGTGGGCCGCTGTGCATAGTCATAATATCTTCTCACGCGTTACTCTCAACGACTATTGTAACACTGCCATGACTGTTTGGCTAAGGTGCAGGGGCACTTGGAACGTTTCAATAAAAAATATGGTAAATAAACACGGAATGAACTACCAAAGCTTTACTTCCTTTCCCCCATTATTGCCGATAACTTCCTGTAATTTGTAAATGCCGTTTATATGCTCCTCTGCAATATATGAGTACCCACGCACGCCGCTGTGCACAAACAACAAGTACAAGCGTTTATTACTCTTTTTACTCTATTTACTCTTTATTCATGTCAATTTCATAATATTTTACATTGGAATGAACTGTGATAAATGACATACATGTATAATAACAAATAATGACATAATGTACAAACTATTGCACAAAAATTAAGTGAAAGCGTATATATAATCATGCAGTTCCATTGATGAAAACATAAACGAAAGTCCAGAAGTACGTGTTACCATCATATGAATTCATTCCAAGTATGGGAAACTCGCTAGAACTGACACTAGAGTCTATCAGGAATGAATAATAATAGATTATTAGTCTATTATTAGTCGGATAGGAGTCGTCACACAGGTCGACCCTTGCTCCAAACCATGTAATAACTATTAGGCCTATCTCTCTCCCTTTTCTGTTTCGATCTCTTCGGTACAATAAATAATTCTGTATGCATAGTTCTATTTACTGGATTCTATGGCTAATAATTATATGTTTAGAAAATTAGACTTTAGGATTAGACTTCGGATAATTGGGCAAGTAACTGTCACGAAAAAGCCCACCACCGACTGTCAAGTCTCAACGTGAAAGCACATGAACGAACGCACGCACGCATGCACCCAGCACGCTCGTACTTGCCCTTCCCCTGGAAAAGCACCCCTTGGACCCCATGCCATTCACTTCTCCCAATAATTACAAAGATGACCCACCATAATAAACATATATGGTGCAACAAAACCACCTACCTATATCTACAGACCTACCTACCTACCTATATATCTATTTACCTACCTACCTATCTACAGACCTACCTACCAACCTTATTACCAACCTACCTACCTATCTATTTACCTACCTACCTATCTACAGACCTACCTACCAACCTTATTACCAACCTACCTACCTACCTATCTATCTACCTACCTACCTACCTACCTACCTACCTATCTACAGACCTACCTACCTACCTTATTACCAACCTACCTACCTACCTACCTACCTATCTACAGACCTACCTACCTACCTTATTACCAACCTACCTACCTACCTACCTACCTTATTACCAACCTACCTACCTACCTATCTATCTACCTACCTACCTACCTATCTACAGACCTACCTACCAACCTTATTACCAACCTACCTACCTACCTACGCAGCTACCCACGTACCTACCTACTTGCATACCTGCTAATATATGTACCTGCCTCACTACAAAACTTTTACTGAGATAACATATCTGCCTGCTCGCCTAGGTACTTTCCCCAACTAACTTCTTTGTTTACCTAATAATTATGTTAAACGGTTAAAACCGTGTTGTCTAAACACGGTGTAATGAATCATAACTCGAAATAACAAAAAACACATTTTTTGTATAAATTAACAATTTTTGTGGTTACTTAATCAGCGATGAATTAAAAAATAATAATTCATCGAGAGCGTAGAGAGACATCTCTGTTAAGTAATGGATATGAGTTCGATTGAATTTGATGAGCAGTTATGTTGCAATGCCCTTTACAGCGTTACCTCTCGGTAACCCTGACAGTATCTTTACTGAGATAACATATCTGCCTGCTCGCCTAGGTACTTCCCCCACTGACGGTTTTAACCTTGTTGTTTAAACATGGCGTAACGAATCACAACTGGACTCGTTGCAGGTGATAGTGATGATTATGACCTGCCTGAAATTCCACCAGTACCACCAGTACCACCACCAGCAGCAGCAGCACCACCAGCAGTAGGCATGGTGAGGGCTCATGTGTGTCTGAGGGCTCCGCTAGAACTGGATCATCGCTTCAGTAGAGGCTTGTACAAAGCTCCGAGTCACCATGTTAACGCCCACACTTACAGCAACCAGGTGTCAGAGCTCCGCAGGCCCGGTTACGGGAACCACATGCCTGCCGAGAGACACATGGCAAGAGACCGCTGGGAGAGTCACATGCGAAATTATGACTTCTCTCCTTCCTGGCGTGAGGATGGCAAGAAATACCCTGACTTCCCTCCTCCTTGGTGTGATAATCGGAGGCAGATCCGTGATTTTCCTCCTCCTTGGCGTGATAATGAGAGGAGGATCCGTGACTTCCCTCCTTCCTGGAGTGATAATAGGAGGCAGATCCATGATTTCCCTCCTCCCTGGTGTGGAAATAGGAGGCAGATCCGTGTTTTCCCTCCCCCCGTCTACGGAATCACGGAGGCACTTAGGAGAGACGGCAAGTTTGGATACTTCAAGGCGAAAAACGGGAGTGTGTTTAAACCTCCCAGGTTTCACAACCGACCGATCGCCATGGTGATGGGCGTCAAGCGTGCAGATGTCATGGGTGTGTTTGCCACGACGATGGATGTTAACAGCGTGAGTGCGAGCGTGAGCCGTGTAGAATATTGGAAGGGTCATGAGCAGCAGCAGCAGCAGCAGCAGCAGCAGCAGCAGCAGCAGCAGCAGCAGCAGCAGCAGCAGCAGCAGCAGCAGCAGCAGCAGCAAAGCAGCAGCAGCAGCAGCAGCAGCAGCAGCAGCAGCAGCAGCAGCAGCAGCAGCAGCAGCAGCAGCAGCAGCAGCGGGAGCAGCAGCAGCAGCAGCAGAAGGGAGATGGCAACCACCGAGCTGATGGCTGCATTGATAAGCAGCAACCCCCCCTGGTGGAGCAGGACAAAGAAGCATTGCGTGCTAAAAAGCGACGACGACAGCGGGCACGGAAAATTAACAAGAGGCAGCGCTTGCGCAGGGAACGTATAGCAGCCCAGGAAGCTCTGCGAAACAATGTGACGCAGCTACCTCACAAGTCTACGTGTGAAAGCCTCATCCCACAGACGGCGTGCGAAGTCACGACCTCTGCTCCCATTGTGATATCGGACTCATGCAACGAGGGCACGGCCAGCGATCTAGGTTACGAAAAGTCGGGGCTAGGTGGTGCCGCTGGTGATGGGGCCACGACTGGATGTACAAGTGTGGAGCCGTGTGAGATATCGGATTCGGATTCCTCTTCAGACTGTTTCGTCGTGGAAGGCGAGCTCCTAGTAAACGCTGTCAGAACCGGCCCCACAGCGGTGATGCAAGATTTTGATTTTGACTGCTATGTCGTAGAGCCTGCGTTCTCAGGAGGTACTAGTGTCAGACAGTTGCCGGTGAATGACGGCGTTGCTGTAGGGACACCTATGCAAACCCGATTGCAGTTGTCACCGAATAAAACACAAAACCCCGGCCGATCAGCAGTCCATGAGAAACAGTGGCAGAACAACCAGAAAAACAGAGATGAAGATGGTATAGGAGGAGCAGAAGGGGGAGGAGAACGAGGAGCAGGGGGAGGAGGAGGAAGTAAAGAAGGAAGGAGGCTAGCGAGCAATACACAGAGAAAAACCTCTGTTTGTGATCTTGTTGGCGTAGCTGTTAGAGAGAAAGCAGGGAGCGTTTCTCATCATGTTTCGGTGTGTGATTCACATGCATCTGATACAAAAGTTACACTAGCTGTGCATGATGGAGATGGCACACCAAGTAAGGGTGACGACAGTGCCAAGCCCACCAAGTGTGTGATAGCACAAACGTACACACTAAATAAAGCTTCCCAGACCAAAAAACCTACCAAGTCTCCGACAAGTGGCACTGGTTTTATCCAGGCAGCAACATCTATGTCAAAGCATCGTTCTAGTAATGTTAAACACATCAAACATGAGGCAGGTGGCACTAGGACTGTACAAACGGGCGCAAGTGTGTCTAGACGTCATTCTAATCGTATCGAGGACAGCAAGGATTTGACACGTGATACGAATATTATTCAGGCAGTAACATCAGTGCCAAAACATATATCTAATAATGTCAAAAACTCCAAACGTGTGACAGATGACACTAGGGCTGTTCAAGAAATAACAACGGTGTCAAAGCAAGGCTCTGACAGTGGCAAATACAGGAAGCACATGACAGGTATCACGAAAACTGTGCCAAAGCTTAGTTCTAATAGTGTCAAACATAGCAAACACGTGACAGGTGATACTAAGAATGTGTCAAAGCATAGTTCTAATAAAGTCAAAGACACCAAGCATGTGGCAGGTGACACTAAAACTGTACATGCAGGCACAAGCGTGTCACAACATCGTTCGAATAGTAATAGTACCAAAGACACCAAGAGTATGACAGGTGACACAAAAATGGTGTATGGAGGTACAGGTGTATATAAGCATCGTACTACTAGTGTCAGAGGCACCAAGCATGTGACAGGTGACACTAAACCTGCATATGCAGGTGCAAGTGTGTCAAAACATCATTCTAATAGTGTCAAACACAGCAAGCACGTGACAGGTGACAAGAGCGAAGCATCGGTGAAGCGTGAGCAGGGAGCGAGTAGCCGGTGTCGTCGTGACTGTGGGGATGATGTGTCAGGCGCTGTGTGTATCCCGTGCGTCCGCGTGAGTGCACCTACCACGCCGCGCGTCCGAGCGCCCGTGCAGTCTCCACAACTGAGCCCGGCTTCACATCCCTCAGTCAGTCACCCTAGCACGAGCTGTAGTCTGTCACACAGTCACCTTAGCACCACTAGCGTATCGCCGTTAACCAGCTCACAGACTGCTCAGAAATCAATAGGCAGCCGTGTGACAATCGTCCCCGGTCACCGCTGTGTCAACCCCGCTGCTGCTGGGAAACAGTTGCCATGGTTGGTCGCTACTGCTGCTACTGCTGCTCACATGCGATCAGTCAATAAGTCGCCAAGCAGTCTACACAAGACTACTGCTGCTACTGCTGCTGCTGCACAAGGGAAACCGATGAATCTGATAGCCTCAGCTTCTTCTACTAATTTCTGCTTGTCAAGTTTTGGTGAAGCAAACGTAGGGTCTAAGGCTGCAAGGTTGGATGTAGGGAAGCAGAAGGAGGGAGCAAGAGAGCTGCAAGGGATGCCCAGCCGTCCTTATAATATACGTATACGTGCAATACCGGCTGCTAGCCCAGCTAAAGCTACCACCTCTGAAAATAGAAGCAGTGAGGTCTGTGACCACGTGGCTGCAGCAAAAGTTGCTCCGAGGAAGAGGGGTGTCGCAATGGAGGCAGATGCTGCGAGAGAGAAGCACGCTGGCAGAGACACGGTTGCTAGAAGAGAAGCAGATGCTAGGAGCATCAGTGAGAGTAAAGCCGTGTGTCCTGCTCGCCCCAAGCGCAGCGCCACGGGACAGGAGGCTGAGAGCCCACGGTCACGCGACGTGTTGTTAGCGAGACCTGCGTCGCCACCGAGGAAACGCAAGCACGGAAAAAGCACGCTGCCGGCTCCCAGCGAGCGTCATATTGCTCGTGTGTGCTCGCCAAGCATAGAGGAGGCCTACAGCAGGCGTGAATCCGCAGCTCCCTTCACAGCTGCTGATACACGGCCTTGCCTTACCTTGCCAACAAAGACACTAACACCTCTCACCCCTGCTACACTGACACATACCTTACAACCTAAGACTCGGACAAATATCTCACTAACAAAGACACTAGCCCCTCTCACTCCTGCTACACTGACACGTACCTCACAACCCAAGACACAGACACATACCTCACAACCTAAGACACAGACACATACCTCACAACCTGAGACAGAGACAAATATCTCACTAACAAAGACACTAGCAACTCTCACTGCTGCTACTCTGACACCCCCCTCACAACACAAGACACAGACACATACCTCACAACCCAAGACACAGACACATACCTCACCAGCAAACACAGGCCACACTTTGCCACCAAAGACAACATCATCCACGGGAAGAAATCTGTTTGAATTTATTCTCGGTGAGTCTTGTCTCAACGTACGTGACTCTAGCAGTGTTTTGCCTCCTCCCAAACCCTTGCTGACATGCTCGAACGAATCGGTGACTTGTGTAAGGAGCAACAAATGTGAATCCAGCATCTCGGCTACATTCAGCGGTCCGAGTATTATGGGATGTGATTCCCAGCCGGGCCGCCCCGAGGGCTGGAACGCCTCTAGTGCTGTGACCGAACAGAAGTCCTCCCCAGAGGTGGCGCCAGCATCGATGCGACCTCACGTTGTGTTGGAGGACATGTCATCGCAGCTGCGTGGTTACGCGTCCGTCTACCTCCGCTCGCCCCACAGTACGAGTTTCACTCCCACGAAGCCGTGCGAAGCCTCGACGCAGACATACGCGAAGGCACGCGACTGCCGAGCTGACGTTGCCATGCCGACGCCATGCGGCAAGAAGCTGAGGAGCATGGGAGGCGCGCGATATTCGAACGCGCGGCCGCTGCCGTCGCTGTGCCACAAGATCTCGTACTATTGTCCTCAGCCGCCAGGTGGCGCCTTCGCCGACAAGCGAGCAGCTGAATCGCTTGCCCTAACAGCGAGGCGCGCCGACGCCCCCTTCAGGAGCTCGGATCGGCAGCGGCGGCGAAGGTACGAGAAGCTGAGCAGTGCTCACACGTCGATGGTGGAGGCGATGAGGGAGGAGGCACAGGAGGATGGGTTCGGACTCACGGAGGCGGTCGATCTGATCCGCTCGCTGACGACGTCCGCGCGCAAGCCGCAGAGCAGATATATCATCTACCTGCTCTCCGACGTACTGCTGTCTGTGAAAGACCTGAAGCTAGCTACCAATGCTTACCAGGTAGGTAGGGCTATCTGGTAATCAGCTGTAGTTACCAACCCTTGCCATGTAGGTACGGCTTTCTGGTAAGCAGAGCTCTGTAGTTATCAGTGCTTACCAGGTAGGTAGAGCTAGCAGGTACTCAGCTGTAGCTATCATTGCTTACCAGGTAGGTAGGGCTAGCAGGTACTCAGCTGTAGCTATCATTGCTTACCAGGTAGGTAGGGCTAGCAGGTACTCAGCTATAGCTATCATTGCTTACCAGGTAGGTAGGGCTAGCAAGGTACTCAGCTGTAGGCATCAGTGCTTACCAAGGTAGGTAGGCTAGCAGGTAACTCAGCCTGGTAGTTATCATTGCTTACCAAGGTATGGTAGGGCTAGCAGGTACTCAGCTGTAAGCTATCCAGTGCTTAACCAAGGTAGGTAGGGCTACGCAGGTACTCAGCTGTCTAGACTATCAGCTGCTTACCCAGGTAGGTAGGCTAGCAGGTAAGCAGCAGCTGTAGCTATCATTGCTTACGCAAGGTAAGGTAGGGCTATGCCAGGTACTGCCAGCTGTAGCTACTCAGTGCTTACCAGCGTAGGTAGGGCTAAACGCAGGGTACTCAGCTGTAGTTGATCAATGCTTACGAGGTAGGTGAAGGGAGTATAGCAGTACGCAGACTGTAGCTATTCAGTGGCCTTACCAGGTAGGTAGGGCTAGCAGGTACTCAAGCTGTGGCTATCCAGTGCTTACCAGGTAGGTAGGGCTAGCAAAGTACTCGGCTGTAGTTATCATTGCTTACGTCCAGGTAGGTAGGAGCCTAGCAGGGTATCAGGCTGTAGTTATCATTGCCTTTACCAGTCAGGTAGGGCTAGCAGGTACGCCGCAAGCTGTAGCTATCATGCTTACCAGGGTAGGTAGGGCTAAGCCGGTAACTTCAGCCTGTAGCATCAGTGCTTACCAGGCTAGGTAGGGCTAGCAGGTACTCAGGCTGTAGTTTATGCATGGCTTACCAGGTAGGTAGGGCTACAGGTACCAGGCTGTAGCTATCTTGATTTACGGCAGGTAGGTAGGGCTAGGCAGGTAACTCAGCTGTAGTTATCAAGTGCTTACCAGGTAGGTAAGGGCTAGCAAGGTACGACAGCTATAGTTATCAAGTGCTTACCAGGGTAGTAGGGCTAGCAAGGTACTCAGCTGTAGTTAGCCAGTGGCTTAACCATAGGTAGGGCTAGCAACGTACTCAGCTGTAGGCTATCAGTGGCTTACCAGGTAAGGTAGGGCTAGCAGGTATCAGCTGTAGTTATCATTAGCTTACGCAGGTAGGTAGGGCATAAGCCAGAGTAGCGGCAGCTGTAGCTAATCAGTTGCTTACCAGGTAGCTAGGGCTAGCAAGGTACTGCAGCTATCGCTATCGAATTGCTTACCAGGTAGGTAGGGCTAGCAGGTACTCAGCTGTAGCTATCATTGCTTACCAGGTAGGTAGGGCTATCAGTTACTCAGCTATAGTTAGCTGTGCTTGCCAGGTAAGTAGGGCTAACTGGTACTCAGCTATAGCTAGCATTGCTTACCAGGTACGTAGGGCTAGCAGTTACTCAGCTATTGTTAGCTGTGCTTGCCAGGTACGTAGGGCTAGCAGGCACTTGGAGTGTCTCTCTCGCTGGCATGAAGTTTATTAAAGTCCTTATGGATACTTAGCGTGATAATAAACCCTCCATTCATAATTCACCCGCTGATGCCATTTCGATGTCATTCTATTATTGATAAGGGAGTTTCTATTGTTACTGAATTGTATGGAGCAGCAGGCTGTAGCTCTGCGAGCGCATGCACACACGTAGGCGTCACGTTCTCCCTATAAGCCATGTCGGAAAGTCCCCGCCGCCATATTGACATCAGATAAGAGGGGGTATAAACAGCCCTTTTATAACATGGGTAGGATAGGACTATTCTAGGTTTCTGATCTATAATTCTCTTCATTAACATCGTACTTCAATTCACAGGTGCGTTTCTGTTTACATAAACATTTACAAATATGATTGTGGCCGTTTGTGATATTTTGCAATGATTGTGTTAACGCAAAAAACTAAAAACGCACGAGTTCTTTCCTAAGCGCGCCTCGGCCATTTTATACCCCTTTTTTCTGTGACCTACATAGCACAGCTGGACTTTCCGATCTCACTTATTTGTTACAGACGCTGATGAAGATACAGCAGCTGCACAGAACGACGAAGAGTTTTGTTCCGTGGTCGTGGAACCACGTGCGTCGTGGCGCAGAGGGGTTCGTCGCAGGAGTGAGGGAGGGAGACGCGACCGCGGCCGCTCGCTGTCTGCTAGCCCTCACCTACATGACGCGGGTGATGGAGGAGGACCTTGAGGAGGTGTCGCAGTCCCCGACGCACACAGAGTAAGAGATGGAGCTTAGCGAGACGTTCAGTAAAATTACTAGTATCGCTTACAGGAAAATGTTTATTATTTATTTAGTGTTGAATTGTACTGGTATCGTAAGATGCGTGTGTGTAGATGTGTGTATTTATGTGTTTAAGTGTACGTGTGTATGTCTTCATGTACAGGGTGTATTTACGTGTGATTGTATGTACATATATTGATTTTTGTAGGGTTATTACCTCCGCCAAGGGGTTGGCAGGAGGTTATGTTTTTACCAGCGTGTGTTTGTTCGGCAGATGGGGTCGTTGTCGTATCAGGTACTGCAGATATGTACCTGATCGAGGTACATATATGTATACACAAGTGTACCTGACCAATGTTGTTTCTACATAACCGTACCGCTGCGCTCCATAAATGTACCCAGGCGGGAAGCCTCGTTCAGTCACGTGGTATTGTCGTAAAAGCCGGAAACCGGTATAACATAGGAAGAATTTAGCGCCTTCTGATAGGCTGGAATTTGGCAAGATGTCAGCCTCCATGACTTGTAGCCAAAATCTCGAATTATCTACCAAAAACCCTGAGGTCAGCTGTAAACTAATCGGTCCACGAACATAAACAAAAAAGTAGAACAAAAACGTATTGCATATAAGCCCCTACACGGCATATCCTGATACCTGTTAATACTGCCGTATACGCGGAACGATACGGATACGCAAATCGTATTATCATTTCCTAACTAAACCAAACTCGGCAGCCCAGACCCTCTCATAACTTAAGATTAAGATGAAAATAACACATTTGCTCAAAGAATTGCAATTATCGTGATATTATATGTTATATTATTGAGTAAAACATGTGTTTTTCATGGAAATACATCAGAAAACTTACTTATCTAACGGTTATAAACCAAAACAAACATTTACAAATGGCGCTTGTTCTCTTGTTTTGAAGGTTTACGACATTCTCGTACTTTATCGCGTGGTTTTATATGCTGCCCGCAGGGCAGGTACGTTTATGTAAACACAGGGTACATATATGCTGAGAAGATACAGGTCTGGTACACTTGTGTATACATATACATACCTCGGGTACATATCTGTAGTACCTGATATGACAACGACCCCTTCAGCGTTTGTTCGGGGTGTGTTTGTTGGTTTGTGGGTTTGTCTGTGTACAGCCTAACTGAAAAAGTTATGGACGGATTGTCATAAAATTTTCAGGATAGGTCAGAAATGGGCTAACTTAGAATTGATTAGATTTTGGTCGTGATCCGGATCCAATTAATTAATTAATAAAATTTTCCCGGATAAGTAGAAAGGGTATAATTAGAATTGATACATTTTGGTGGTGATCGCGGATCCAATTAATTAATAATTAATTAATTAAATTTCAGGATAGGTCAGAAATGGGTAATTAGAATTGATTACATTTGTGGCGATCCGGATCAATTAATTAATAAAATTTTCACAGTGAGAGAATTGAGCGGCCTTGGCGGAGGTCTGCGCTCTCCGAGTGCTCTAGTTTATATATGTGTGAAGATGTTCACACACACGCATGCACAGGCGCACGCATGCACGCACGCATGCACACACACACACACATGCTCCAATGTGACGTATTAAAAGAATATGGGTGCAAACGAAAAAGAACACGAAAGATACTCCGTGGTTTTATATGGAGCATTGCATCCATCAGATTTTTATTTCCATAAAAAAAGCGTTTTTTTTC